TGTTCACACATGTGGCTCTATGTAGGGTCATCCACTCAACCACAGCTGTGATGTAGGCATCCTCAACGCAGAGAAACCGGGCTCAGAGCGGTCAAATAACTTGCCCAAGATCACAGGATCCTCTCTGTCTGCCTGACTGGGACGCAGCTCTCCTTCCCACCGTGTCAGACTGCTGAAATGGCAGAATTTCAGCACCATTTCAAGGAAGAGGAAGAATATTCCAAGGTGGGGGGAGGAGGAGCAGGGAGATGGTTCAGGGGAGGAAGTGAAGTGTTGAAATCAGTTGACTTCGCTACAGCCTGGTTTGCCTGCTTTGAAAAACCACAATGAAGAAATAGTCACCCAGATTTCCTTATATATATAAGCAAGTATAGATATTTAATCTTAACCAAGATCGTATCTCTAATTCCTAATTTCACCTCCGCCTCTGGGTGTGCCTTTCTCCTATGCTCCCCAGTCTGTGCAAATCCAGCCTGTATGTGCCACAGACACTTGAGTTTGTCCCCCGCCCTGAGACCCATAAAGGCCCCGTGAGACGAAGCCTAACAAGAAGAGAAGGTGGAAACGTTAGCGTGGACCAGCCCATATATGTCATGTACGTGTGCTGACACCGTTCCAAGCACAGGGACTTAATCCCCACCACGCCCCTTGAAAGCTACTAGCTCCGTCGTCCCCAATCCACAGATGAGGCAGCTGAAACAAGGAAAGGGTTTTGCCCAGGGACACAGGGACAACCAGTGGTGGGGACTTGAATCCAGGCAAGCTGTCTCCGGAGGCATCTCCCAGCCACCATGTCTCTCTGGCTAACGGTGACTGAGCCAGATGTCGGTGCCTGGCGCTGCGATGTGCTTTCAACGTGTTACCTCACGCAGGAAACGAAGAGATAAAGACTCCGCTCTGGTTAAGCCGACTGGTCTTGCACTAAGGCCCACCCTGCATTGTGGGCACATCACTCACAGGGGCCAATATTAGCATCGGGGGCTCCCCAGCCTCCACCTGACTGCAGGGCAGGATTGGAGAGTTCTCCATCCACTGTCACATCTGGCCTTGACTAAAGAGACTTGCGGGGGAGGGGGTTCCACCAGCAGCCCCTGGGGATGGAAGCAGGGGGGAAGGCAGGCAGAATCCCTGACAGAAGCAGTGGGACGGGAGGGTGGGAATCAATGGGAGTTTAATAATTGGCCCCACCGAGACGCACCGGAAGGATGAGCCGGCCTTCCTTCCTTCAGTTAACATGCATCATGGGAACTGGCTCCGCTGCTTAGGGTCACCCTGAACCTTAGGGCAGGGTGTTGAAAGACACCCCAAGAGAACACACTAATCCCTCTATGCCTCACTTTGTAGCCTGGTCTTAGGCTAAGTGAGCATTCACCACACCTACTCGGCCTAAGCCGCATCACAAAGCCTCCTCATTAACTGACAACGATGTTTCTATCTAATCACCAGGGTTTCCCCAACCCTGGAAGGAGGGTCCCTTCCCCACCCTATTCACCCTAGCGGAGGGAGGTCTGTCTGGAGCTGTGTCATCCGGTGACTGACCGAACTGGTCTGGCCAATCACAGGAGATCCCCCTCCTCTCTGCTTCTCAATTGCTTGCAGAATCAGAGGAGTAAATAAGTACACATTGCAGAGTTCTTCATTTGCCATCCACACTTGGTCGTGTGTGTAAAATGTCTCTGTCCCCAAGGTGGGAGGGCATATATGTAAAAAGGCAAAAACACAAGGTGATGCTTGTTAATCACCAAACACCAGGTCCAGAAAAGCGCCCCGGGGAATCAGGGAAGGCGGAGGAGTTCAACCACAGGTAAATCAAATGATAGGAAAAGACGAAATAACAGAAAACATCGTGTCTCTTATTACGTGAACTCATTCCTTCACTTGCTCACTCAGCCTGTCCAAGGCTGCTTTTAGATAGAATTCCAGTGAGTTCTTTTACTGTTTCCTATGCTTATAGGGTCTTAAATATGCCTGGTCAGCTCCTTTAGTGTCTTCATTTTTTAAAAAACACATTTTAGGGGCGCCTGGGTGGCGCAGTCGGTTAAGCGTCCGACTTCAGCCAGGTCACGATCTCGCGGTCCGGGAGTTCGAGCCCCGCGTCAGGCTCTGGGCTGATGGCTCAGAGCCTGGAGCCTGTTTCCGATTCTGTGTCTCCCTCTCTCTCTGCCCCTCCCCCGTTCATGCTCTGTCTCTCTCTGTCCCAAAAATAAATAAACGTTGAAAAAAAAAATTTTTAAAAACACATTTTAAAAGCTATTTTTGAAGCAAAACCCTCTTCTTGGGATGAGACTTCCCATCACTGGCCCTTGCCTTTGAAGCCACGCGTCCCCTGCTCTGAGCCAGCGTACCTCCTCCGAGGTCTCGCTCAGTCTGGAGGCCTGCGCGGTGGCCGTGTGCCTCATCTGTTTTCAATTAAGCCCTCAAGCTGAAGCTGGGTACATGGCTTTAGCAAGTTGAGTTTCCAAAGGGTCAATCTTATTTTGAACCAGCACGTCAAAACAAAATCAACTCAACCTAAAACACCTACAAAGCAAATAAATCCATCTGTTTGGAAGGTTTACTTTAAAAATGCTAGGGCAAAGCAAGGTGCAAAGGGCCCAGGCAGCTTCCAGGGAGGGGAGGGGGATCTGTTTCAGCTTCCCTAAAATAGGAGGCGAGGACTTGGCAGCCCAAACCAGGATGCTGGCCTCGGGTGGTTAAGACTAAGGCCCGGGGTGACTCCTGCCTCCTCCCCTCCTCGGGCCCAGGACTGGGGCAGGTGACCGAGAAAGTGCGCACTTCACCCGCTCTGGCCTCCTCATCTTCGCCCACTGCCGATGCCAGGCCGGGAAGAGCATTACAAGGCCACGGGCATCAGAGGCTGGGAAGGGCAAGGCTCACTCCTCAGACCCACACCGGGCGACGCCTCATGGGTGGGGTTAGCTGGTGACTCCACGGTGACACTGACGCTTGCTCCTGCCCCAGCCTCATTTGCCCGCTTGGCCCTCTGGGGAAGGAGCACTTTGAGGATCATGACACCGTAGAGGTCGGGTGCTCATCATCATTTGGACTGAGGACATAGACACACTGCTTGCTGTTTGGGGTCTAAGGAGGGTGTAACAGAGAATGGCCCAAAGTCATTTGCTTTGGCCCGAGGGGTGTTTTTAAAACAATTTAATGGTTTGCAAACGGTGAAGCATCAGAAGATTTCACAGAAAAATCCAGATTTACAGCTTCTCTGGAAATGTTAGACTATCTGGCTATTCTGGTCCCACAAGTCCCCCCATGGCAACGATTCTGCTGAAGACCGCCAGACCTCCCCCCTCTCTCTCTCT